GGCCGCCGGCTCCGCGGGGGCTCAGAGCTCCGTTTTCAGCTTCTCGTGCAAATCCTCCTGGTCGATCCTGTCGCTGTTGCCGTACCACCGGTGGTAAGCGAGCAGGGCGGCGTTTTTGGCCGCGATGGCGCTCATCTCCACGGCGCTCGCGGCCCGTTCGATGCCGTTCAGGTAGTAGATTTTGTCGTGGAGGATGACGGGAGGGCATTTTTCCGGGGGGCTGTAGCGGGGGTACGCCAACCAGCTCTTCGCTTTGACGGAGTCGTAGGAGGAGAAAAGCAAGCTGAGCTGCTCTTTGGTGAGCGCCTCCTTTGAAAACACCTTCCAGACGGCCGATGGCGAGGGCGGCTTCCCTTCGCCGCCTACGTCTTCCACGGGAGACACCACCCCCAGGCTGTTGACGAAGAGTTTGGGATTCTCCGTAGTGAAGATGGCGCCGAGGTGAAAGGCGGATGGGTCCCGGTAACCGAAGAAGGAGGCGTTTAATCGTCCGTGCACCAACGTCGTGACGGTCTGGTGGTAAGGATTCGGGAACTCCGGGACAGGAGGGTCGAAGTTCTTGAAGGTGATGTTGGCCATTTTGCGGCTCAGCGGAGCGGCGATGACGACGATGTCGTACGTATCCGCCGTCTGTCCCGACGCAGTGCTGTAAGTGACCTGGTAGAGCTTCACCGGGTCCCCTGGGGAGAAGAGCGGGAGAAGAGCTCGGTTATCCCGCTCCGCGGCCGGAGGGAATCCCGGTTCTCCCTCCGGCAAACGTCAGGCTTTTAAAATGCCATCCCGGTTAGGCTTAGTTACGCCTTGTTGCGAGCTGAAGTAGCTTTAAACACTAGTCCCAGCTTAGCCGAGGGAGTGCTGAGACCCGGGGCTTTGAGCAGAGCCCGGTTTTCGTCTTAAAAGACCGGGGAAGGCCCGGGCTCGTTGCCTCGGCCTGCCCAGAGCTGCAGCCGAGCGGCGACGGAGCCTGACGCTGGTCTCCGGCTGCCGGGCGGTGCCGTTCCCCCCTCCCCACCGAAGGGAAAGCGAACCCAGCTCACCTGTGGGTCTGGGTCTGATTTTCGGCTCTATAGACAAAACCGTAGCGGGGATAACATCGGCTTTGGAGGCGTAGATAAGGCCGGTGCAGACGAGTTTGTTCCCCCCTTTTACTGACCAAAGGCCCGATTCTACCCCTGCCAGAGAAACGGCACCTACAAGGAAACCACGATCATTGGAGCGGCTCGTTCGGCGTCATTCTGTAGGGGAGTATTTGAAACGAAGTGGAAAATTAGGGGGAAAAAAACCCCCCACAAAACCCATTGTTTCGGGGCACGGAGCTCGCTGAAGGCCAGGGCTAAGCAGGTCGCGTTAGCCGGCAATTTGTCGGCGTACGGTGGTTACCGCCAGCGCGGTT